TTAACGACAGGCCAAATGTGTCTGATATAGGCCATAACTACTACTGGAGCTACATAGGGGCATGCCACAGCAACTAACACCAAAAATAAATCAAATTACCCAAACAAACCTGTTATTCCACTGTGGCGATAGACATGGCTTAGGCCAGACTTTACTGCACCTACCTTGGACCTCGGCGTAGGATTTGGGTGAACGGCGACTGCGGCGTTTTTGACTGAAGAAGTTTGAGGCGTCTGACTCGGCCATAAATACCTGCCGCGCAGCTCCTGGAGATGACAGGATGGGGAGTTTAAAATCACATAAAGAATGAGGAGCTGTAGACGGTAAAGGCTGAGCAGACATTACCTTGAGCATCTGCAGGTTTGGAGTCATCCCGAACCGCGGCGCTTTTCACCACACTAGAAACTGGAAAGGAGGAAAAAAAACTGGTATAGACTCTTTAGATTGGATTTTAATGATATTCAGGGTAGAATAATCGGGTAAGGTTTGAACAGTTTTCACATTTGTCTCCAGGGCCGGTCAAAGCCTAGGGCCCGAAGCTGATTTTCATTTGGGGCCCACGATGCCAACATGTCAACACCAGATGATTGATCGTTCCTTAGCTACTCTATGTGTAGCATACGTACTATCATTAGTATCATTACCATTAGCATTAAATATTTCAGTGGCATTTAAGTGTGCCATATTATTTTAACTATTTGAATGTAACATCAGCTGATAAACACTAAATTTACAGTAAACAATAAATTATACATTTTAAATTTGCCCAAAAATGGCAGCAGCTATCAGCAAGAAGAGATTAACTAATTATTTATGTGACTATAAAAATAATACAAATTGGTTTTCCATTTGCAAAAAGCATTTAGTTCGTATTATTCATTGTTATGATAGCAAATGCCTGCAGCATGATAAAGCACCAAAAATTTGGAGTTTTTAGGGGGCCACTGGTGGTGTCGCCCTTGGCCGGTCCTGCTTGTCTCAATATGGGGCGATTGCAATAATGCAAAGGAGAGTAAAAAGTTCTAGACATGCTGTTTTTAGTGTTTAATTCAAATCAAAAATACTTTATTCCTTCCAAAGGGAAACTAAATGTTATATTTGGAAAGCGAGAGGAAATAAAAAGGAACTTCAAGTCATCAGATGTTTGGGCCATTATTGGCTATTGATTTAATCTAAATTAATTAAATTATAAATTATCTAATCTTTTTTTAACAAATGTGCCTAAATTAGAATAAAATCATTAAACTCCATAAGTGAGATGGAGTCCTCTTAACTTTTTAACTTTGTTTCACTGAAAATGGGCAAATCTGCTCCACGGCTAACTTTTACTAGCAACAGAAAGTATATTTCTTAGCGTTTTATAGATTTAAACACTAAAAGCTCATGGTCAGACATGTATGTTGTGCAGTTTGAAATTCGAAACTGATTTAACCACAAACTCCCAGAAAAGAAAACTGTATATTGTTAAAGCTATCGCTAACGGCAGCCATGTTGCAGCTAAGACAAGTTCACTTCATTTTTGTGGCATAAACCAGCTTGGACATTTTTACTTTTAACTTCAAATGGGACAACGGTTACTTGATTCATTTTGAATCTTTTTATCCTTTGAAAATTCATGACATGATTTAACCACTTAATTCAAAATTATAAAGCAATTATTATTCATACTGCACCTAAAATAAATATTACAGGAAGAATATTATGTATAACATTAATTATTTGTTTTTAAGCAGAAATGTAGAAAAAAAATTTTTTTATTTTTTTTAACAACTTATGTTCAAAATATGATAATTGTTGTCTTTTTGATCCTTATAGAGTAACAAAAGTGTAACAAGCTAGTTATACTTAAAGATGTGTGAAGTAACTGCAAAACTTTTCTTAAAAAAAAAAAAAAAAGAAAATACAATCATAGATTTGAAACCAAGATAAAAAATAATTAGGAATTCTTCAAAAAAAATAAATTTTTTTCCAACTGTGAAGGCGGGACGTTGCTGATCCCTTCCATGCTGACAAGGTACTTACAGGTGATGATGAGGAGGATGGAGAGCGAAGACAAGATGAATGCTCGAGTCCAGGACATTCTGAGGGAGAAAAGCCAGATCCGTGTGAGACTGAACAGCACACCTATCAGAGTAGGACTGAGGCTGGATGGAAGGATGGACGGGAGGAAGGTGGGCGAGCCAGGAAGGGAGGAGAAGAGGAGGAGGAGATGGAGGGAGGGGAGTGAAAGGTTCATCCAGCGGATGAAAGCTGATGGTATTCCATTGCTACTGGGAGGGAAAAAGAGAAGAGACAGCACCACTTTGAGCACCTGATTTTTTTTTTTCATGCTGCCACTAAAATGGAAGCTATTGGGGGAGAACAAAGATCTGGCATGAGGAGGACGCTTTTAAAAAAATTATGAGTCAAATCTTTAACTGATGTGACCACAGCAGCAGTTCATTAAAGGAGCAGTGTTCTGTAAAATCCTCTGTTTTTGAGCTTTACATCATGTTACAATGTTATTCCTTCATCACTAAAATACATGAAGTGTTGCTTCGATTGTTTTGTGCATGTTTGAGAAATCCTGTAATCTCCATGGCAATCATTCAGCGGCACAAAAGACCCGGTGGACCAAGCTCCGCCTTCCAGACGCAACTCCTCCTCAGAACTGCAGTTTCTAAGCTTCCCTCCCTGCAGCTCCCTGAATCCACTCCTTCAGACTAGCCAGCGGCAATTAGCAAACACCTGCTGGAACCGCACATCAGCTGAGCTCATTATAGGAGACACTTTGCAGAGCAAAGCTGGTAAAAACCTTGCTAAAGGGTTAATAGAAGAACCATGCTGTGATGATTTCCTGAAGGCGGAGTTTTTGAAAGAGCAGGAGTTTTTAAAGAGACATAGGCCCAATTAGAGCCATAAGCCATACACATTTTTTTTTCAACCTAGCTTATTAAACTGCAGAGGCTACAAATCCCTGCAAAGAGCACTTTGTGTCTTTTCTAAGCCAACAGTGGATTTGTATGATTTTCAAATCTTTTGATAAACTTCTTAAAGAGACAGCTAGACTCCTTTTAGAAACTGCTCATTTCTTCTTCTTTTTTAAGCAACGATTTAAAATGTACTTCAGGAGAGGCATGGTCAGAAACCAGTGTGCTGGTTCTGTTTTTAATTCCAGGAGGGAGTGAGGGTGGAATCTAATCCGAGGGAGAAGCTGTCTGCTGCTCCGCAGGACGGGAACCACTCCCAGCAGGAGACCTCAGCCCTATCCTCGTCTCTGTCATTGTAATTCCACTCAGGTTAGATGAATGTCTTTTTGTATTACTGGTCAAACAGATCTGAGGACATTTCTTTCACCAGCCAATCAGAGAGGAGGCTCCTCCAGGAAGTCAGAGGCCAGCTTGTAGTGATGAATTCAGCATCCTGTAAAGGATCTAGAGAATAATTGTACCTTACATACACAGAGTGACATGCTTTATGTATGTTTTCCTTCCAGGCAGATTAGCTGCAGGTGGCAACATCTTTTTGCAGCACTGAAGGCCTTCATTATCATTATCATTCCAGATATAAGCGATCATTCTTTTACCTAGACACCATGTGCCTCTCGCCTTTGTTTAAGCCTTCAGCAGATTGGAAACTGCTGAACTGGAGGTGCAAAGTAAATTGGTCTCTGTAGTTTTCCGCCTCAGATCTGATCGGATCTGAAATGTTTCTCCGGTGAAGGAAACTGGGCAACGATGACTCGGCGCTCTGCCCAGACAAAAACTGGAGCAGACTGTAAAGTCTGGTAGTGATTAAAGCCGTCGATGAAGCTGGATTCAAAGCCTTGTGTAAGAAAACAGTGAGCATTGTGTGGATCAATTTTTTTTTCTGAATGCAAAAACTTGACTTAAGATTGGCATTTTCAGAGTGGATATGGCAAGGTTTTCATTGTTTTGAACGGAAGCCCGGCAAGATATCCTTTTTATTCTTTTTAAGTCTGGCAATCTGTTTTCTTGCTGTTTGAATGTTATCTGCATTTTTTTTTTTTTTTTTAGAAAAACCTAGATTATAATTTTTTTTCCCACATGGAACATTTTGGGACAGCTGTCCTTGGAAACCAGGCTCTTGACCATCAATGCTGTGGTTTAACTCCAGCTCCTCTAGTGGTAGAAAAAATGTATTACAAGAAGAACACTTAAAAAAAAAAAGTCTCAATATTTTATCTCACTTGGCAGAAGGGGGAAAAAAGTTTTTTTTTTTTTTTTTTTTTTTTTTTTAAAGAAATAGGGCAAAGATGTTAGTTTATAGTCGGCACAGTTGGTCAGATTTTGTAAATAACTATTTTTGCTTCCAGGACAAAAAAAGTTCATTTATGTCAAAAGTGAACCAAAAAGCTTTGAAACTTTTTTGTTTTACTTGTTGATACCGTTAAAGTTATAAGAAAAAGAAAATTTGGTCAAACTAAGTGAGAATGGGTCTTTTGTAAAATAAATAAATAATTAGCCTTTCCGGGTTTCCGTACCGTCGCACAAATGCAATGCATTCTCCTTACAAGTGTGGGACCTTTTAAAGGGGAATGAACAGATTTATTGGCCAGGAGCAGTTTTACAGCAAACTAATCCAACCAAACCCACATTTTCTTACTTTATGAGATGAATTTAAATCAATAAACCATTGGCATGTGTAGTGTGTCTGATTTAATGATGTAAATGTTGGCTTTTGTGATGTTGTAGTCATATTCTGAAGAAAACAAAACTGATTCCAGTCATTGCTGAATTTATTAGTCACCATAAATTATTTTATTGTGTATAAGGTTAAAAAAATACTCAGACTCTTAAAATAGCATTAAAACTTTAAAAATCACAGTTAGCATGTACTCTAAGGAAGATCAAGGCCTCTGCTGGCGTAAAATGCTACAGTCATTTCAACGTTGATTTCATTGTTTCTTCATCCATCGTACCTTCATTTCCACCCCCCTCTCTTACATACATGACATTTCTAATGATTTACTCATGATTATATTAACTTACAATCTGTTAGAATAATATCCCTTTCCTTTCAATTTTGGTGAAGGAGCTTAGTCATTAGTTTTTTTCTTCTTTTTTTTTTTTCTCTTCAGCAGTCGATGAGTCCTCAGAGTGAAGTCCTCTCTCCCTGCACCAGGCGACCCCTGAGGGCCCACATGTCCTATGGAGAAAGCACACAAACCCAGTTCACTATTATTTCTGGTATATTCCAATCCCATGTTGTCCACCTGACAGCTGTCGACACCTGTGGTTTTACTGGAAAGTCGGAGATAAAATGACACCTATTGCAATGTTGAGGCTTTTCCAAACACACACAAAAAAAAAAAAAACGGCAAACGTTCAAACGTGAGCTAGCATACAGCCTCCAGACGACATTGAAGATAAATGCAGAAAGAAAACAAGAATGGCCAAAAGTGGAGTCTTTTGTGTGGAGTGACATTAAGTTTGATGTTCTTCTGCGTCACATTTGGTTATACAGCTAAAACATTACAAACTGAACATCCTCCAGACCTGTAGGTGGCGCTAAACATGGAGTATGGGACCTAGCATAAAGCCTCCAGACAACATTAGCGCTAAACACAGCAAGAAAACAACAATGGCCAACATATCTCCCTGTGAAGGGGCCAAACACAAAGTAGTCCAAAGTTGGGAGATATAATGAAAAGGATCCAGGCGTTTTTGAAATCAGCTAATGAAAAGCGTTCCCACATCATGATTCTGCCACCACCATGTTTCACCATAGAGATGAAAATATTATAAATTAAATGATTTTTGGAGTCAGTTGAACACAATGGGTTTTATTTACAGTATCAACAAGAAAAGACTTCTGACTTATTTCTGAAACATTTTTGAAAGATCCTTTTTTTTTTCTTTTCACAACCAGGTGTTACTGTGTGTTGGTTTATCAAATAAAATCAGATCTAAAACACAAAATTCTGCTTTAATATGAGAATATATGCAATAGTTCAATGAGTGTTAGTATTATTCCCAGACAGTGCAGTGAAAAGTCTTCTGCAGGTGTCCGAACACGTTTTTGATGCTCTCAACATATATGCAGCTGATGATGCATATAGACACATACTGCTTCTGTTTTTAATTTCTTGCACTATTCTGTCTTGTAAGCAATAACGCATCAGATAATCATGCTGTCAGTCCTGACAAGGTCAAAATATAGTCATGAGGCTGTGATATCCATAAACAGATGATGCTCCAGTGCAGATTAAGGGCTCCGAGGTTGAGAAATTAGCGATGCGCGATATTATAAATGCACATGGAAGCGGTCGGATTCAGGTGTCATCCGCGTGACGTCCAGGGACATTGCCTGGCTAAAAACATCGTTCTTCATTCTGCATTATCCAGATATAAAGGAATCCCGTCAGGCGTCTCACTGGGTTAAGAGGTTAGGAATGCGCTTGCAGGGATAAACTTAGAAGCCCATCAGGGAGGCATTGATGCTAATGAGTGAGCTCAGGTGTTTTGTGAGACGGCCGCTTAAGAATAAATGTAAACAGTAATGAAAAAGTATGAGACCAACACAGGTGGAGCTTGGATGTCTAACCTGGAAGGCCAGTTCGTTCACCCCGTATTTCTTCAGCGCGATATCTTTCACCTCGCTCTCGATGTTTTCCTGCGTGGTTCCCCTCACATCGATGTAGTAGCAATCACCGCTGGCGTAGTGGCAAGAGATGGCCTGGGAAACACACACGCACACACACGTTTCAGAAACTGTCCTCTTTCGTATTGTAGACCCGCTCCAATGTTTCCAACTGCATTTTAAAAAAATCCTAAGTTTACCTATGAATATTTTTCCAGCTCTAGATTGTACCTGTCCTGGTTATCGAAACCAAAATGGGACAAAATAGAATTGCTATAAAAAAATTTAGACAGTGAAGAATTATTTCTATGCTTTTTCTACATACAACATTTTTATGTATCCTGCACACTTTGTCAACAACATATATGTAAATAGATAAGAAATAAAATTGACAGTTCAAAAATGGTGCAGTAACCCGGTTGCATCCATCAGGTCTGAATCTCAACTTTTCATGACTATTTTTCAACTATAACGTAATGTTTACATTTATCTACAATGAAAAAAATAATAAATGAAAAAAAATAAATAAATTCATTAGCAGAAGTGTGGAAATACTCTAAGTGCAATGAGTGTGGCGGTTAAAAGAGAAATGTCTCGTCTTCACAACATTTTCCATTATTAAATGATGATCATTTAGAATAGTTTTCAACACCTTGAGGTTATTTGTACTCTGTTATGTAGGAATAATGCTGCAGATATTTAAGTTATTTTTATAGTTTTCTGAATGAAAAATAAGTCCCTGAATGCATCATGTGTTTGAAGAATAAAGTGCTGCCACCTGCCTTCAAAAGACACAAACTGATTCAAAATAATAAACCTGTGTCCAGTACTATCTCAGTATTTTTTATTTACCTATAAAAAAAGAGGTGAATAGATTAAGTTTATTGTTGGATACTTAGGAGGACTGCAAAGTCACTTGTTTTCAGCATGATGAGCCTCAAATTTCCAACCTCTTTCTGACCCGTGAATGCACCGTATCTAACAACATTCTTTGAGGCTGGAAATCTGCCCCAAACTTCGGCACCTCTGTGATCAGGACCGGCTTTCCCGACACACTCGGTACCTTGCGGAAGCCCTGCGTCTGGTTCATGCCAGAGCCGTGGATGAGGAGGGGATGGAAGAACACCGTGTCGCCCTTTTCCATCTCCACGTACAGCCTGGGGTGGTTGGGGTCGTAGTCCCGCACCCCGTGGTACATTTTGTTCACCCCGCCCTGAGAACACAGAGCCCAGGTGAAGCACATTTACAGATGTTCCCAGCGGGGCTCCGAGGTCGGCTCCAGGGGCGTTACCTCCCAGTCGGGGTAGTCGTGCTCCTTCAGGGTGCCTTTGTGTGTTCCGGGCAGGACCACGAGGCAGCCGTTCTGCCTGGTCACTCGCTCCATGGCGGTCCAGGCGCAGACGATGCGGTCTGTCGGCCGGAAAGGGAAGTAGTGCAGATCCTGGTGCATTGGGTGGCGAGATGTCTTCTTGCCTGCAACGACACGAGCAGCAGCAGCTGTCAGGATGAGGTTCACAGCCAGGCTAGGCTAATGCTAGCGCTAAAGCACGGTAGTGGAGGGGTGATTGCATCACCTGCATCAGGAGGTTTGTTGATCAGCATGGTGTGCATGGCCATGATGTTGGGTCCGGTGAAACACTCCACATACTTCAGGATCTGCCGCAGACAGACACCAGATGGGCTCAATGGTGTTTTTAAGCAAAAAACAAACTAAGATGTTGTGGATTTTTTTAAAGCAAGAAAATATATTACATTTGTTTTTTTCTTTGTTTGTTTGTTTTAAAAAAAACACAGACAATCCTGATTGTCTTTTTATTTAAAACATAGATCATTTCAGGGTGTAACAAACACTCATCCACATGAGAATCCATTTCTTCCACTGTTTCTGTTCCACCCTCATTAGAGCACATAGAACAGGTCAGAAAAATTCCCTAAAAACTTTGGTGTCTGCTACTTGGAGCTTAATGTTGTTCAGCTCCATTTTAATGTCTGGTTTAGATCAGAAACATAGCAGCGTGGGCCTTTAAAGCCCATCTGGAGTCCTAATTTACCTTTATAGCAACTGAACAACAAAGAAAAGAAAACTAGACTCCAAATTATTTAGTTGATTTTCTTTTAACTTTACTTTGAGAGGCCACCATCATCCCTGTTTATCCTATTTAGGTCCTCTAGTACGTCTGAGAAAATTCTACTCTATAAATGACCGAGTTGTTGATTTTGAGGAGTATCTTTAAGCTGTGGACTCAGACACGTGAATTTGAACAACTGCATAAAGTCGGTCACTAAATCAGCTTAAATGGTTTCCTGTCTAAACAGGAAACAGACAAACGTATGTATTACAATGAGCGTTTATAAAATCCTGCTTTACTTATATTAAAGTATTTTGATTATAAAATACTCCTTTAAATTGGGACAGAAAACATTCTCCAGCTGACTTTTATTTTGAAAGGTCAGCATAATCCCTTTTTCTTCACCTCTTTATTTCTGTTTTGATCATGTAAAATACACTTTTGAAATGATTCTACATGGTAAAATTGTGATGTGTTGAGTAATTTTAAGCGCTACTTTTGAAAGCCCAACATCACAACTTGTTTAGATTCATTAGAATCCAACAGTTTTTATTTCCAAACTCCAAACTATGTTTCCTGTTCAGCATGATGCTGACACTACCATGTTTGAAAGTGAAGGTGTTCGGTGTTACATTTTACATTCTATTCTTTGCAGCATTAATTACTGGTAGTTTATTTATATTTAGATGTTTTCTTTTTTGCTTCTGCTTCACAATTATGCACAAGTGTATCCTGGTCTTTTACAAAAAAATGTATGAAAAACTTCAACATTTTTGCACTGCCCTGTATTTCCCTTAGTTTATTCTAGGGAAAGGCAAATTAAACTCCAGAGTTTATCCTGTAGATAACCTCAATGTGACCACATGCTGTTTATGTAAGACGATCTGGGTCATCTCTGGCGTTATGGAGTCCTGCTGGGTTCCAAAGTCCATTCAGTCATTATTACATCACTAACAAGACACCTGGAAGAACGTCTTCTAAACGTAGAACACTGCAGACTTCAGGGCCGTACCTGAGGTAAGGCACAGTAGCGGAACAGCTCGGGGTCTTCCTGGAAGTCCTGGAGTTTGGACACGGCTCTCTGATCCGGAACAAACTCTGACTTGGCGATCGCCACGTCCCTCATCACGATCAGGCCCGGCACTTTGACTTTCTGCTGACAGATCTGTTCGAACTCCTTCCTAAAGAAGATCCAAATTAAGGAAGTCTGACGCCTGATTGTGACGAGGATTTAAACTCTGAACTACTCCTGGAATTAACTAAATGCATTTACTATCCTTAAAGCAATAAATAGTATGTAGTTTGAGTGACTTGTAGCTTTTTTTGTTTTACAACCACAAACTTCTATGTATCTTATTGGGAATAATGAAAGTCCGATGTACAGCGAGAGGCACAGATGTGTGGCTACATTAAAGCATTTTCAAGTGTTTCAGTTGCCTAATCAAATTCCATACCACAATCTGATAGAGAATTTGTAGCAAAGTTAGAAATGTATGTTTTCCCATCCAATCTGACCGACTTTTAGCTATTTTGCAAAGAACAGGCAAATGTTGTCAAGTCTTTTTCCGGCTGGTTAACATCTTGTTCAGTTGTAGCCAACATGGATGTGTCTACATTGTAAGCGCTAAGAAGCCTGGTTGCATCTACACCATTGGGCGACCAGTTTCTCTGAAATCTTGTGGTATATTTGTTCGTTGCCCTGTCCAGTTGACACTGAATGCGTTCTTCTGCCACAACTGATGAAAACGTCTTGGATCTAAAGGTTTGACCATGGGATTATCGATTTGCAGTTTGCCAATTCACCAACTGCTACGGTGTCATTGCAGGTCAAAAATGGTGGTTGTTCAAGGAGTTTATAAGAACTTTACAGATGCAATGACAGGCGGTCAATAAATGCAGGCTACTGCCAATCAAATTGTTTAGGCGCAATACCTGACTTTTACCAATCCATAACGTGGTTACGAAAAACAGAAGAATGGTGCAAGATCTGCAAAACGTGACAAATCTGACCGGGATGGACTGGAGAAGAGCTGGATGAAGCCACGTCCACAAAGAACGGGCTTTATAGAGGCAACAGACCAACAGTGGTAATGACAACTGGGCAGTACTGAATCAGTGGAGGCTCAAGATCAATAAATGTGTTTCTTAATTTATTCATCACATAAAAATGAAAGACTCAGCTGTGTGGGTTTGATGTAAGAAAATACAAGAAACAAAAAGAATGGGGTGTGATTATGTTTGGAACCGCAGAAACTCAACTGTACCTGAATCTGTCGATGTCCGTCTCAGACACCAGGTTCTTGATGACGAGGAAGCCATTTTCCTCGTAGAAGAGCCGCTGCTCAGGCGTCAGTATGCCTGTATCAAATGAGTATCTGTGCAACAACAGGACGACACAAATTAGATTTGAAACAAAGCTACTTTAAATGGCTACATCTGTTAGTCAGAAAGCAGATGAGCTGTTTGTGTTTAAGATGAAGAAATGTTCCAGGATGTTAGGTTGGAAAAATCATACTTTTTTTAATGGACTTTGTGCAAAAGTTCTTGCAAAAAGGGAAATTGAACACAACAAACTGGGTCAAAGGTGAGAGAGCAGCAAGGTGCTTCCTCCTACCTCAGTTTCTGAGGGGGGCTGTAGGTGAGGGTCTGAGCGGATGTTGGGGAGGCTCTCTGAAAGTCGGTTAAGGAAAAACTAGATACGTAGACAATGTTTGTGCAGGTTCTTTCATATTCTTATCTATTTCGCTGTTGTATAACAGCATTTAATTCAATCTGAGGTTTGTCTGGACCATTGATTTCTTTGTGGATAATGTCCCGTTTCATGACCCAGTTTGAAGGGAGGCTTCATGGATGCAGAGCAGGACCAAAGAGTGAGAGAGAAGGAGGAAGTTCAAACTCTCTCTTCCACCCTTTGTATCCTGTACTCCAACATTTCTCTGCCTGATTTTCTAACCATACAGCCAGACAGATTTAAAGAACAAAAACAAATGCGGTGTATTTGCTTTAGCTGTGTTTGCCAACAATTGATGATGTCATCCAGGATAATGTTACTGCGGAACAGAGTCTGCTGCTTGTATTAGCATGTCATGACAGTCATGAAACTTTCATACAAGCAGAGCATATCATCTGCAAAACAGCGAAAGGCCATATCAGGTTTTCTGAAAACTGAGCCTGTTAAAGGAGAATAAAACTGAAACGGACTCAAGATGGAGCCTTGGGGATTCCCGTAGTCAAAATTGAATACCATTGAATTCAATGCATTTGCGAAAATTAAGGACGAATTCGAACGATACATATGCGATGGTCCACAACTTTAACGAAAGACGCAACAGAACCAGGTCAGCAGAACTGCCGGAATCAATGCATTATAAATAAAATCCTCCTAAAACAGCCGAATTGTGGCGCTCTTTTAAACCAGACGGACGATTTTAAAACACATAGAAACTGCTAACGTCTAGCCCTGACCTCTGCCTGTGTTTCAGCCGCTATGGGAGCTCGGCGCGTCTGCAGCATGTCCTCCTCCCGGAACACGTTCAAGAACATTCGGATCTTTCAACAGAACGAAAGGATACGATCGAAGCCGTAGCTCCGTCCAGGTGATGGATCACCGTCCGGAGTCTTTCCGCAGCCCGAGACATTTTCCCCGCTAGCAGCCGTCCGCTCTCAGAGACCGACGGACAAAGGTTTCCTATGCTGGTTGTACTGGGGGAAAGGTCTCACCAATGACATCATACGTATGAACTGACGTTACGTAACGGTCGCTGCAGAGTTCTTAAAGGTGGACTTTGGGTCGCTGTTAGGAAACACTTTTACATCGAATGTCAAATTTAAGGCAAATACGTAAGCACAAATGGAAGGGATATGAAGGCACGTATGAGTTTTATGCAGTAGTTATAACAACATATATGCTTCCAAATGAATGGTCACTGCCAAATAATTTATGTTGCTGAAATAGACCTTATTAAAGTCTAATACAAGCTATACATTACTAACTTCAACTACTCAACGATGTCGTGAGTTTTATCAGCTTATGATTAGTTTTTGAGAAGGAAAACAGTTTTTTATTTACACAGACAAACGCGTAAACATAGAGCAGAGATAGTGGTCAAAAAATGTGATTGGTTGAGAATTTTATTCCAAACTATTTTTCATAACTTGTATACACTGAGTAAAATAGAAATTACACATTTTATACGAGAAACTGTTAAAAAATAATTTGCCCAGCAGGGGGTGCCACAATACAATGAACTTCCAAGCCACTTTCGAAGTGCGGTAAAGAGTAACAATAATGAAAATGTATAATCAAATTAACAATATTAGACCGAATATAAAAGTTTTTTATATGATCAAACATCATGAAATAGTATGAAATAGTATGACTTCTATCAAAAACTACCAAATGGTTTTGATAGTAGTAAAGTAGTTTTTGAAATCATATTGTGACTTATAATTATATTTGTAAAACACTGAGACCTAAATGAAAAACGTCATGAAGGGGTTGTAACATAGGACAGTCTAATCTCTTACATGTATCTGAAAAAGAAAATGATTTAACTACAGATAAACTATAACGATTAAACTTATTTCCATAGAAAATCCAGACACCTTAAAAAGGATCTAATCTTCTTTGGTTGAATAAAGGAGGCGCCCAAACGTTTTGCCAAAGGGACCAAAGCTGTCAAATGAACAGTAGCTGTGGGCCACAAACGATTTAATAAAAATCCAAAAACAATGTGTTGCTTCAAAAACACTTGGTTCATTTTAGCCCAGGTAAATGAATCTTCACTGGAAGTTTGCAGTCTTTACCATGAAAGAAAGCAAGAAAACTTGGCTAATAAATGAAAAATGTTTTATGCTTTCCATGTTAGCAAACTTTTTGGGATTGTGGCCACTCCTGCCCTGCAATGGTTCAGCGAAGTCAGTGTGTTTTGGGTCATTACCATGTCACAGGGTCCCGTTGTACTTCAACTTTCGTTTTTATTTTCTTTTTACACCTTGTCATGGTGGATAAGCTGACCATGCCCTGCTGCAACAAACCAGCAGGTTTACAAACTGTAAAGCATCTTCATGCTTTACAGTTTGTAAGGGGGTTTCTAGCGTGCTGTGTTTGTTTTATGCTAAACATGTCCTGTGCTCTGGTGCCAAGTGCTACATTTTAGACTCATATGTATGATATTACTATATCTATATTCTTCAGTCTGACCTCTGTTTTTCTTAGTGCAACAGCTTCCTCCTTGAATTTGACAGTTAAACTTTTGCGCCCTCTTCGCTTTAGTTTTAGCATTGGCGTTTTAATGCGAACACTTTGACCGGAAACGCAGAAACCGCTTTTATTTTGAAATCTCTCGCAGAAAACAACACACCAGGCAGCGTGGGGCGTGGTTTTATTTTGAAAAGTCGACGGAAGTTCGTCTCACCTCGCCGTGGGACTCTGTAGCTATCGGTTGCACCACTCCCGTGTCTGTCGACGTTAGGTCCTCCTCCAGTGTCTTTAAACTGCCTCCGCCGCCGAACAAACGACATTTTTCGGGCACCTCGTTTACAAACACGCCTCCCTTTATGTGTGTTTCCGAGGATATTTATCTCTCCGTGGGAGCCTCCGGTACATAACGCGAAAACACAAGCGGAGCTGTGTTTTTTTTCTTTTCTTTTTCTTTTTGTAAGAGCCGCTGCTGACCGTGGTGGGCGGATAAAGGCAAGCCGAGGAGGGCATCCGGCCCTGGCAGCTCCGGAGAGTCCTTCCTGGAGGGACAGGATTTACCATTTTCAGGTAAGCCGAGCTCAAATGTCCTCGCGCAGCCTGTCCGATAATGGACACGGCGACGTTGCGTTTGTTTCGACGGAAAATGACGAAGTGTTAATAACTGGCTGTGTGGTGCGTGGGGATGAGAACGAAGAGGAAACGGTAGCTGAGAAACAATTCAGCCAGAGCAATGCCATTGTGCGTGCTGTGTTCACTTCATTATCACAGAGATGCCGTTGGTTTGTTCACATTACATTTACATTTTACAAAATGCTTACAAAATCATTTTAAACGCACAAATATAATACCTGAACAACATGGATGATGGTTGCACCTTTATGCCATTTTTTCTGTAATCAGTGATCTTTCTAATTTAAAATAAACACATTTCGTTTTTATACTTAATGCATGTTACCATAATAATGCTGCACTATTTCACAATGCTTTCTAACTGGAGGGATCTTAAAAGTATGCAAACTGTCACAAGTGGGTGTTTACTTCTAAGCCTCCAGCAACACAACAGTTTGACCAATTAAAGTCATTTTACTTCGAGCCTGAACTTCTTCCTCCTGTTGCATTAAAACTCTGTTGATGTTTATTAAGGCACATTAGAAGCAGGCATGCTCTCTGCATGTTTGCCCTCCTCATTTGTGGATACGTGCATCAGCATCAGGAATGCACCACCCCTGCTGTCTCCCTGGCAACGCTGAGATGTTGTAAAAGGGTGTAATCTTCCCAGAGAGCAATCTGCGTTTGAACGATATTGAAACGACTCTTCTCAACAGTTTTCATCAGTCCAGATGAAGGAGTGAGTGAGTGAGTGAGTGAGTGAGTGAGTGAGTGATGATGATGATGATGATGACGATGATGTTTTCACGCTATTATTATTATTTTCATGTCCAGTTTCATTTACATCTGTTGTCCTTCATCTGGAACAACAGGATGTTTTTGTTGTTGTTGTTTTGGCATTGCATGGAACTGAATGTGTGTGTATTGACCCACATTGAGATCTAGGCTATGGGTTGTGGAATTGATGCCCCCTTTCTGGTTCCTGCCCCATAGGATGGAGTAATTACCCCCGTCTGTGTCTGTGGGGCATAGGCAGAGTTAGTATTGATTGGCCTCTGCATTATGGAGCATATAGAGGGAACATAGGAACTGCTTGGTGTGATGAAAGAACATAAAGTTCCACTCCCAGTTTCTATTCTTGATATATTTTTGGACAAATAAGGGTGGTGTTGGTATGGTATGGTTGGGGCTTCAGTTTGTTTTTTTATTCTGTGTCCTTTAAAAATAATTAAAAAAAATATATATGAGAGATAGATAGATGGATATATTTCAATTCAAAAAATTCTTTATTTATCCTAAAGGTTGTAACATGTTTGATCAAAGTATCTTCAAAGAGTTGTTGTGGGCGAGAATGCTGCGGGTGAGAAGCATCTCCTATAGCAGTCAATCTTCCAATGAATCTGAAGACGCCTCTAACCAAAGACTGTTGCTTTATGATAGTCTTGTGCTAAGAGCTCGATTTCCAGCCAACAGAGACAATATTTCACAGTTCCCATTGACCATATAATTGCTCAAATTGAAATAAAAATAAAATTGCTTAAAGGAGCAATGTTTCTTACCATAAGAAGTTTTTGCGCTAAGATGAGGTGGGTTTTCCGGCTAAATTGAAATAGCTATATTTTGCTAGACTACAACGGAAACTCATTTTCGCATAACACGAGTCACTTGATCAACAGCCAGATGTTACTACCATCAGAAACGACAAAGAAGACAACACAAAGTTGTTGGAGGATGGTGGTTTGTCTTAGTTTTTTTCCCCCAACAATGGCTCCATCAGGCTAAAAAAAAAAAAAAAATCTTCTTGTTTCATCTTCCCATAGTGGTAAACAACCGAGTCTCAATCTTTCTTTGTGTGATGTGCTCTGAATTATCTTATTATTTGGTTATAGTGTAAAAACACAACACAAGTTTTTGAGGTAAGCTTGTTGAAATGTTTAAGTTAGGATTATGGAGGCATATTGAACGAAACAGGGTTTGTATCGATGGCTGGAACACTGGAGTCTAAAGGTGAGCCTATCTAAACTTCTGGACATCGGCCTGCCTGAGACTCTGTTGCTATAGGCAACCATTCCAGAAGCTTGCAGCGCTTTCTCTCTTTTTATGTAATGCTTAGTTGAGCCGATGTTTTATTGATCAGAGGAGTGTGTGTGTGTATGCGCTTTCAGTTACTTGTGTGTGCATGTGTGGCTTTTGTGTTTGGGCCTTTCAGACGACCCATTAGTCTAAAAGCAGAACATATTCAAAACAAAAAAATTATAATAATCTGAAAATAGTTCCTTCCACTAAGTGTGTGTGGTTCGTTTTACTTTAAAAGAAGTGCAGAAATAGTGCAGATTTTTCCTCACTGCTGACTGTAGTGTGCTGCAGTGGACTTCTGTCTAATTTTTAGATGTTTTTGCTGTCTGGTTCAGATTTTCATGACGGATGTTAAAGTTGATCAACGTTTTTCTTTGAAGAAAGAGCCTCATACATTATGTATTTCATCAAAATGCCCTCATCAAAAAAAATATGAAAACATGTGTCTGACCCTTTTAATGTTTTGCATTTAACAAAATCAAATTTATTTTGTTTGCTTCAATAAAATTTAGCATGTTTTAATTTTTTGTTTGAACAGATAACACAATGTCATGAATATTTGAATTTAATAATTAAAAAAAAATCCCATAATTGCTTTTAACTTGGCAATTTTGGCCCTCAGGATAAAAAGTTCAGATGTCACTGGGTTAAGATTTTAATGTCCTATTCACAAATGTTGAAACTTGTAAAGAAAAATCCAGAAATTATCCACAGATCTCCGATCAGTGCATCTCCAGAGGTAGCCACTAGCTTCTGCTGCCAGTGTTAGCTAATCTGTGCAAATATGACATGAAGATGCTAACAGATTTTTTTGCTACAGGTACAGAATGCTCATATTCTCTCAGTAGTAAAAATAATCTAAAAAAAAAAACCAAAAATCAAAATTATTGCTTT